GAAGAGAACAAAATAAAACACCTATACAAAGAGAGCGGTGCACAGCGCTTAATATTTACTTGCACTATATTTCTGTTGATCTGGGTTATTGTGTTGCACTGTTGGAGGAGCCTGTGACCTAAGATGTTCATTGTCATAACTACACTAGCTATGTTCGTATGACAAAATAAAAAACCTTGAACCTTGAGGCTGTGTCTTTCAGACAAACCATCATAATCATATTATTTTATGCTGTGGATACTTTAGCCTCCATCCATGTTAACAATTTTTTACACTTGCATTTATGAATATAGTTCTGTTGTGTTTTACACTTTTGTATTTATGTTTATAGTTTGCTTTGATATTTGCTTCATTTATTAGATTATTATTATTATGGGGGCAGTACTGGTGCTTGAAATTCAAATATTTACTAAATAGTCAATTCTGATAACATTTTTTTGGTTTAAATAATTTGACAAACACATGTATGTGAAAAAGAAAAGATGTATTTATGTTCAATACAATGAATATTTAGGTATTACATTATACATTCTAGGTATTCAGGTGCGCATCAGACCCAAGTAACATGTAATGTAATGTTGACTAACTTATAACGAGCAAAACATTCCGGTTTTTAACATATATTATACAATAATGTCGCTTTCTCACAATGTCCTCAGTATTTATTGCTTTTATCACTGAATAAACATGTATTACATTTTGCAAACATGAAAAAACACATCAGTTTTACACATTTTTAAACACCTTAATTCCTGAATGACAACTTCGCTGTTTTCTGTTCATAATGCCCTCTTTTGAATTCATGTAATGAACGTAGGTTTTCCTCAGGCATCCTGAAGTTCTCCACCCACTTTGTGTGTGAAAGATGGAACAATCACATTCCACCACTCGGTAGCTCGGTCGGTAACTTCTGAAATACACAAACAAAAGCATACATATTTTAATACGTAAAAGTGGTAGCTACAATTAATTAAATACTTGAAATACTTTGGTCGTATAGGGAGCGTGAGCCTAAACACATTGCTAGTTAGCGAACGTTAGCTTACCAAGTAGCATCGTAGTTAGTAGTGATTCGAGTCGTCCTGTAGTCTCTGCGGCGTAGGAGGACTGCCCGAACTCTCGCGTCAGCTTCTTCTATACGTCGCCTCTTTCGAAACAACTCTTGTCTATTTCTTGTGATAATAAACCACACAGCAAAAAACAAGCAAACGATCGCTTTCACATCTTCACATCCTCCATTGTTGTGTCGCATTGAAGATGACGTCACGGCAGTTTTAAGCAGCGTCGCTCCGCCTATACTGCGTTACTATAGATACTACCCCAGTTCCTAAACTGTAATGGAAACGCGCCATAAAGTGAGCTGGTCCTAACGAGGCCAATCGCGGCCCAGCCATACCGAGCGGGGCCGAGCGAGGCCGTATAGTGGAAACGCGGCATTAGAGTAAACTTTCCCGGGGAGGCTGAGTAGTGTGATGCCTCTATAATTGGCACACACCCTCTGATCCCCCTTTTTGAAAAGGGGAACCACCACCCCAGTCTGCCACTCCTTCAGTACTGTTTCCGACTTCCACGCAACGTTGATGAGACGTGTCAACCATGACAGTCCCTCAACACCCAGAGCCTTCAGCATTTCTGGGCGGATCTCATCCACCCCCGGGGCTTTGCCACTGTGGAGTTGTTTGACTATACCTCAGTGACCTCCCCCCGGGAGATTGGTGTTGATTTGGTGCCGCCCGAAAGTCCTTTTCCATGTCTTCTCTGAACTTCTCCCACACCCGCTGCTTTGCCTCGGCCACGGCTGAGGCTGCTGCCCTTCGGGCCTGTCGGTACCTTGCAACTGCCTCGGGAGTCCGCCGGGATAACAAATCCCTGAAGGCCTCCTTCTTCAGTCGGACGGCTTCCCTGACCACCGTTGTCCACCAGGAGGTTCAAGGGTTACCGCGCCTCCTCCAAACGTTCCCAGTTCACCCACACTACACGTTTGGGCTTACCAGGTCTGTCAAGAGGCTTCCCCCGCCACTCGACCCAACTCACCACCAGATGGTGATCAGTTGACAGCTCCGCCCCTCTCTTTACCCGAGTGTCCAAAACATACGGCCTCAGGTCCGATGATACGATAACGAAATCGATCATGGACCTTCTGCCTAGGGTGCTCTGGTACCACGTAACCTTATGAGCATCCTTATGTTCGAACATGGTGTTTGTTATGGCCAATCCATGACTAGCACAGAAGTCCAGTAACAAACCACCACTCCGGTTCAGATCAGGGGGGCCGTTCCTCCCAATCACGCCCCTCCAAGTGTCTCCATCATTGCCCACATGTGCGTTGAAGTCTCCCAGCAAGATTAAAGAGTCCCCTTCAGGAGCCCCATACAGGACTCTTTCCAGGGTCTCCAAGAAGGCCGAATACTCTGAACTGCTGTTTGGTGCATAAGCACACACAACAGTCAGAGTTCCCCCCCCCATTAACCCGCAGGCGTAGGGAGGCGACCCTCTCGTCCACTGGGGTAAACTCCAGCAAAGAAGCACCCAACCGGGGGCTTGTGAGTATCCCCACACCCGCCCGGTGCCTCACACCTTGGGCAACTCCGGAGAAGAATAGAGTCCAACCCCTATCCAGAAGTAAGGTTCCAGAGCCGACGCTGTGCGTAGAGGTGAGCCCAACCAGATACAACTGGTAATGCTCCACCTCCCGCACAAGCTCCGGCTCCTTCCCCCCGAGAGAGGTGACGTTCCACGTCCCCAAAGCCAGCTTCTGTCGCCCGGGTCTGGTCCGTCGAGACCCTCTGCTTTCACTGCCACCCTTCTGGCAGCGCACCCGACCCCATCGCTGTTTCCCGTAGGTGGTGGGCCCGCGGGACGGAGAAGCGGAGGTGTTGCCCACGTTGCCTTTTCGGGCTGTGCCCGGCCTGGCTCCGTGGCAAGCCCGGCCAACAGACGCTCGCCGACGAGTCCTCCTTCTGGGCCTGGCTCCAGAAGGGGACCCCTTCCTCCGGGCCGGGTATCCTCACTTCTTAGTTCGTCTTTCATGAGGTCTTCGAACTCAGGAGACATAAATTATCTTAATGGTTGAGTCTATATGAAAGCATTTAGTTTATTAACTGAAGTATGCAACGAATATCCTCATGTCATCCCCTTAAACACATTAAGTATATTTATACAAAAGTAATACTTTATTTATTTAGACTAAATGCCACTATGTCTAAGTTCTACTCCATTATAATAGCATTAAATATTAAAGCAACCATTGTCATGAACCAGTTGGACCACAAGCCTTTTAAATTATACTACAAATACCTAACATTGTCAATTTGACTTAATAAACGTCATACAATAAGTCATACATGATGTCATAAGACGGCTGTGTTTCTTGAGCTTTTGACTGCTCCAGGGACTCACGGCCCGTCCACACGGCGGCGTGCGTTGAAGCTTCAACGCTTCTGGCCATTCACTTTGAATGGGGTGACGTCACGCTTTGCCGAACTGCATTGTGGTTCCGTCGCTTCGCTTTGCTCGCGTTGCTCGCTTCAAAAGTTGAGCAATGTTCAACTTTTGAAGCTTCGACGGAAGTGTCAGCCAATCAAATAATTTGCCAGTACAAGCTCTAGCCAATCAAACCGCGTGCTTGTGTGTCCGGGGCGGGAGATTCATGTGATTGGTTGTAGGTCGAGTTTCAGACACGCCCACCGGCAAGCTTCAATGCACGCCGCCTTGTGGACGCTGCGTTAGCATTGCACTAGCACAGGGGTCTGCAACCTTTGTGACCAAAAGAGCCATTTTCCCCCCTTTTGCACACATTTTTTTTGTCTGGAGCCGAAAACATATTTGATAGGTTGATAGTTTAGCTGTATATATTGTTATATCATAGACGAAAACTACAGTTTTTTTGCATTTATTATTCATTACAAACTGTTTACCTCTAATAATAAACAAATTACTCTTGTAAAAAATACACAGGCATACTTTAAAATAAATCAACACAGCACTTGGGGAGTCCTCTGCACATTTGAAGAAAATAAATTAAATTAAAATGGGCCCACTTTAAAATAAATAAAACATATAGCTGAACCCTAGACATAGTTAACAAATGTAATTATGACTGAAGATCGTCAGCTGTCTTCCTCTTCCGTGTTTTTCCTCCAATGCGTAAAGGCTGCAGCACCTTTGACAACTTCTCTCCACATATCAAACATACCGGTAAGCCAGCATCGTTTGCTGTGAAAGCATATAACTCTGTCCACGCAGAATTAAACCCTCTGTGTTCCTCTGATACTTTTCTTTTCTTTGATTTATCCATAGTTCAATCATCGAGCCGGGGGTCAGGTTATTCGCCTCAAGAAAAGGCGCTGGCGCGGGACCGTAGCAGGATATGACGCATATTTTAGTTGACCTAATTAAAACCGTTTATTTTTTATTTTATGTGTCACAGTATCACCTCAAAATACAAGATACGAAACATTTTCAACCATGCAACAAAATATAAATAGTCCTACAAATATTTTTATTTTATTTCCTTCTTATTTTTGTCTAAGCTCAAGGGAGCCAGAGCAGAGAGCTTAAAGAGCTGCATGCGGCTCGAGAGCCGCGGGTTGCAGACCCCTGCATTAGCATAACAATGAAGGCCTTCAGACAATGTAAGAATGATCAAAACAGAAGCAACAGTGGCCAAGATAATCTGACAAACAAAAACATATATAGTTGAACACAAAAATGATTTGTGTAACACTGTTACCACTAGTTATCCTCCCTCATCTTTAAAACTCCACACACCCAGTTCTTTATCCAATGCTGTTGGCCATACTGTTTTAATTGTACTGTATTTACCTTGAGCAGCCGCACATGACGGTTTTGTGCTCCCCCCCCCCCAATGAAAATCAAATGCCCTCTCTGTAGATTGCTCTGGTGCCAGGCCTGCTTCTATATTATGTGTCTACACATTTAAAGCTTGTAGGTATATGAACACATTTGAGGACGTATGGAGCCAGGAGTGAAGAGCTTACCTTGCTGGAACTCATTAAGCTTCTTCATGGCCTCGTCTCTCTCCTCCGCCAGCTTCTTGCACTTTAGAGACAAAGACAGAGAAACTGAATCTCAGGCCCCCTGCTGTTTGAATCATCCTTTCTCTGTTTGCCTGAGCAACAGCAACTCAGAGGCTGAAGAAATAAATGAAATATTCTGCTGATGGGGAAATGAGGAAATACAATACCTGCCCCTAAAGATAAGATAAGATGTATTTTATTGATCCCAAATTGGGATATTTGTTGTTGTTGCAGCAGGATAAAAAAACAAGGTGTTAAAGGAGTAGAAATAAACAATTCTAAAATAGAAACATCTCAAAATAGAAATAAACCGGCATTAGCCTGTTAAGCCCTGAGCCTGTTTTTCAGGTTTCAGGCTCGAAAATGCCACAAACACAACAAATGACTATATCTTCACTTCTAAAAGGGGTAAATTAATAATCTTTTTTTTCAAAGCAAGGTTACATCTGTGAGTTGGATGTAGAAGTGTCAGAATCAATATAGATGTTTTTATTTTAAAGTAAATTCAGATGGAACATAGTAAAAACATGTAAATTCTATTCTCCGCCTAAAAAACCCCCATTACTTACAGTGAAAACCACCCTTGAATGATGGGTTAGTAGACTAAAAGCTTTAGGAATCCAAACTATAACATATAATAAGTACCCTGTATCAAATTTTATGCAAAACAAGTGAAATGTGACCTTTTTAGAGCGGTTTAGAAAAATAAAGTCCAGGCGGACTCACCTCTGGGTAATTTGGGAACCATCAGTTCCATTTGACCTTTTTCACTGTAAAAATCATTTTATTACTTTGAATTATCACTATAGGTATTCATTCCATCCAAATACAACTGTTATCTGCTGTCCGCTCTGTGCTCCGTGCGCTCTGGGTCCTGCAATAACGGCTTCCTTACGTTGTAAACACTGCGTAGAGTCTGCTGCGTAATGTCTGGCATTCTTTATACTTTACGCAGGACCATATCTCTGGAACCCATTGGTCCATTTGGGTGATTTACACCTTTTTCTTAACCATTAGATCCAATAGAATCGATGGGCAGTTCCCAAATCCGCGTAAACATTACCATTGCGGACGTAATAGAGAAGCAAACGAAGCATATCTGAAAGTACAAGCCTGGACTGCAAAACGTTATACCCAGTATATTGCCATAAATATGATGATGGATTATCAGTCAAAATGTCTACGTGACACAGAGACATTGGATTAACCTTGAGCGGCGTTTTTATTCCGTTGAACACAACTTTTGATCACAAATAAAAAAAGGTAAGACGTAATTATTGTAATATTTTTGAAACCGGATGTTGTTTACTTTCTCTTTTCTGGCTGATAGCTCCGCACATTTGGGGTCGTACAGTGATTACATTACATGTATGGAATCTGTGGAATCTCAGCTTTAATCGGATATCTTGTTTGTGCAGTTACGATAAGTAATAAGGGCATTTCTACCGTGAGTTCTGTGCAAAAGTGCGATAGCATTAGTTAGCATTTTTTCGCTCAATGCTAATTCAAAGGCTTGGTATTACTCTTGTGTTTCTTTTAGCTAAAAATTGTTCATATTGTCAGTTAGCGGAGTTTCTTCCTGTTAAAAGGGTATGGAACATTAATAGTTTGATAAATGTTAAGAAGCCCTGAGACATAGTCTCGAAAAAAACGGTGGGGGGGGGGGTCCACTGGGGGGACCCTCGTCCTTAAGAGTAGAAAATAGTTGATCTTGAAGATAAAAAAGGGCCCATTTTTAGTAGACACAATATAACCCTAACCCAGGATAGTATTTACATTAAGTGTGCAAGGAATGGAATATTACATTAAATGTAAATGTAAAATGTACAGTGTGAAGTTAAAGTCGAAGAAAATCTCCAAAAACAGACTGGTAGAAGATCTCCAACAACAGACTGGTAGAATATCTCTAACAACAGACTAGTAGAAGATCTCCAACAACAGACTGGTAGAATATCTCTAACAACAGACTGGTTGAATATCTCCAACCACAGACTGGTAGAAGATCTCTAACAACAGACTAGTAGAAGATCTCCAACAACAGACTGGTAGAAGATCTCTAACAACAGACTGGTTGAAGATCTCCAACCACAGACTGGTAGAAGATCTCTAACAACAGACTGGTAGAAGATCTCCAACCACAGACTGGTAGAAGATCTCCAACAACAGACTGGTAGAAGATCTCCAACAACAGACTGGTAGAAGATCTCCAACCACAGACTGGTAGAAGATCTCCAACAACAGACTGGTTGAAGATCTCCAACCACAGACTGGTAGAAGATCTCCAACAACAGACTGGTAGAAGATCTTCAACAGCAGACTGGTAGAAGATCTCCAACAGCAGACTGGTAGAAGATCTCCAACATCTTGCTGCACACGTTAAAGGATCTCAGCTTCCTCAGAAAATAGAGTCTGCTCATCCCCTTCTTGTACAGCGTCAGTGTTGATCCTCCAGTTCAGTCCGTTGTCTAAGTGCACTCCCAGGTACTTCTAGTCCTCCACCACAACAACACCCTCTCCCAGAATGCACAGGGCCAGTGGAGACGTCCTCTTCCTCCTGAAGTCAATAGAGAGGCGAAGTCCCTCCCTTTCCGGTGGACCTCCATGGGACCTTATTTCGGAAAAATTATGTATTGAAGTCAATGGCGAGAGAAAAGTTATTTTTCGATCCCGTTTGAATTTTGCCACGAATTACACATATGATGTTTGTCAATTGAAAAGATCATTTTGCAAGTTTAAAAAAAAATGTTTTGCCGTAAAACTGTGAAGTAAGACTTTTTTTGTGTGAAACCGCTCAATGAACTACATCTCTGGTCTCGCACAACACCACACGTCACCAAGATGGCCGTCAATACTGTCTTGCCAAACAAGGGATTGAATACCCTCACTATCACCACAATGAAACACGTCCAGAAGAATGTCATGCAAAGCTGCCTGCCTTCCTTCGATTCTCCCTGAACTGCCTGATCTTTTTAATGTTCAATGTTAACCATTTGTGCAGATAGCATGAAGTAGAAAAGATCGCCGATGCTAATGTAGCGTTAGCATTTCTCCCCCGGGGCATCCAGGCTTAAACGGTGTAGGCTATTATAGAATGATCACACCGGTGTGACAGTACTCTTCAAAGGGTTCACGAAATATGACTACTACTCCTACTGTTTAACATTTTGGGTTACTTAATGTTACTTCATGTTAAGGCTAATACAAATGACAAGGCTAAGGCTGTAATGCTAACTAAGGTGCTTGCTACTAGCTAGGTAGCTAACTTGATCCAGCCACTCCTGGTCCTTTCATCAGACGGGAAGCGAAAGAACGAGCAAGACCCATTGCTGGTATGATAACAACTTGGCACAAAGCACACAGGCATCTTGTTAAAGTTATCTTATCTTAGCTATCTCTTATTTAGTGGAGGAAAACAATTGTGACATCAGTTATGACATCACTTACGCGACTCTGGGATTTGTAGTCTTTCTAGTTGCATATTTTTCATAGTCTTATATTTCAACAGTTTTACGACAAACTGTGACTTTTTTTACATGGAAATGATTTTTTAAGATTGACAAACATCATATGTGTAATTCGTGGCACAATTAAAACGGGATCGAAAGATACGTTTTCTCTCGCCATTGACTTCAATACATAATTTTTCAGAAATAAGGTCCCATGAGGTCCACCGGAAAGGGAGGGACTTCGTCTCTCTATTACCATCTCTCTGGTCTTGGCCACATTCAGAAGCAGATTATGTATTCCAGTCCTCTCCACAAAATCACCCACCATGCTCTGTACTCCTCCTCCCGTCCATCCCTGAAAGACCCTACCACTGCAGAGTCATCCGAAAACTTCTGCAGCTGGCATGACTCTGAGTTGTATTTAAAGTCAGTGGTTATAAGGTGAACAGGAAAGGAGACAGCACAGTCCCCTGTGGGTCTCCTTACTACCAACCAACCAACCAACCAACCAACCAACCAACCAACCAACCAACCATAAAGTTACCTACTGATGTTTCCTTATACATATACACACTAGGAACTAGAACTCTACAACAATGTTTTAACTAAAATGCCCCATTTCACTGTGTATGATCCTTAAATGACACTATTCAATGGAATAATGAGCACAGATTTGAACCATTCTGGATACAAATGCATTACGAACCATGTGAGTATGTCATCATCAGGACCTTAAATAACTTAAATAATACAATTTAATAGCCAATAGTCTCTCTTCCTGACAAACTCATATCACTATTGTGATATAAACATACTTATAATGCATTATTATTTGCTAGTACTGTAGCACTGTATAATTATAGTTATCATTCAAAATAACCTTCAACACAAGGGCAAGACAGGCAGTATATAGAAGCCTTTGATTTGCTTGGAAGAACTGCACGTTTTTATCAGTGTGTTATGATAATCCACTAAGAATAAAGGCTTTTTAATATGTCCTACATACATTGAGAATGTGTTTTATTGTTCTCATAAGCTTTGACCTTTCAACACTTAGCCCCTAGGGCTACGTAACAATTGATTCTGAAAGCTGATACCAACACCACTTAAATGATCTCCCTGCTGATACCTCTTTTATCATGGCGTGGCAGAAGACACCAGACATGTATCATCATCTTCTGATCCCACACTCTCTAAAGACAACAACCATTTATTTGACTTCTTTTTTTTCACTGACACTGTTACACTATTTCTGCTGCCTGTGCTGCTTCTTTAATGAGTTAAGCTACTTCTACTCCTTCTAGGCCCAACTTCTTTCAACTATTACTGTGTAGTGATGCTGTAGCCAGGGGCGCCGTAAGGGGGTGAAAAGTTAGGACGATTCTAAGGGCCCGTGACTGACAGGGGCCCAAACTATTTTAGAACTTTAAGAAAAAAATGTTTAAGTAACCAATGTCATATCTTTTCATGGGGCCCAAAATCCCCGGCGGCGACCCTGGCTGCTTCTACTACTGTTACTGCTGCAACTGAACCATGATATTCATCCTGATAGAGATGGTCCGACGTACACCCAGAGTGATGTTAGCACTTACCTCCATGGAGGCTGTCTCGTGCTTCCTCTGCAGACCCTCATACTCCTGCAGGGCTGTAGGGAGGAGAGGATACCAGTAAGCCATGTTCACCAGTAACTCACTATAAAGCAAATGTCAGTGAAGACCACACACACTCACATCCTGCAGTTTAAAATAGGACAACACATGGGGACTTCTCCATCATGTGATAACTTCTCATTCAGTGACTTATAGCAGGGATGTAGAATATAGAAACACGGGCTGAGTGAGCCTTGGGTGTAACTACAATAGTAAAGGGAACTGCCTTCTCTCAAACATTTGCAATCACAGATCATGGTCGCTGCCAACATCAGAAAAAACAATTGTGTATTTTTACGATACATGTGTCTTAAAAGTAAAATATTGTTTTCCTTTTTATTTGTTAGACTGTACCAATAGAGGTATAGGGTTTTTCCTGTTCTTCTATCACAGGGGTTCTACTGTAACTGACCTTTGTTTGATCTAGCACAGTGGTTCTCAACTGGTGGGTCGCGACCCAAAAGTGGGTCGCGGACCCGTTTCGAGTGGGTCGCGGATGTGTGAGTGAAGAAAAAAAATTGAAAAAAAAAATTGGAATTCTTTTTTTTTTTTGGGGGGGAAAAGTCAAACTTTTATTTTGAAGGCCCGATATTCTAACGCTGTGCATGCAGTCGGCGTTGGACAGGAAGTACCGGAGACCATAAACGGTTTTGAAAACTTCTGTCACGATCATCTTCTCAATAAAACATCTTTGCTGATGTTTTTTCGAGTCTTCTGGCCAATCAGAATCAAGAATGTTGCCGGAAGTCCCCACGGAGAATAACTTTGCGGTAGAACTATTCTTTATACATCCATGGGTACAACTTCAGATACAAATGAACACATAATGAAATATGACCCCCGGTTTGATGATTGACAGGTCACAGAACAATGGGAGCTATCTACCCTTACCCACAAAGTAATTCACACAGACTCTCTCCTCTTTGCTCTTCTCGCAGCAAGATGTCAGAACAAAGTGAAAAACAAACAATGGCATCAAATATTATTAATATGTCGGGTAGTAATAGATGTATTTATTTTCTTCTCAGAGTGTACCAGAATGCGTAGTTTATGTTAGTATTTCTAAAAATCTCCTGGGGGAGAATCCCCCCCAGACCCCCCTGCTGGGGTTGGGTTTTCAGCATGTGTGCCTTTTTATATAGTTCAGCTTTGATTCCAACATCTCATTAAACCTTTTTTAAAAGCATACTTTAGTTCTGTGAAGGGATATAAGGGATATATGCACTGTACTTTTATTAATATTGTATGCTGAAAAGCGTATATATTACAGCACGATTTTTTGTTGAATAGATTTGAGTGCTTCAAAATGTTGGGTCGCGATGTATTGACCAAGTAAAAAGTGGGTCCCGAGGCCTGACCAGTTGAGAACCACTGATCTAGCATATATGACCCTCACACTCAGACACATACTGCTGATGTTCAGCTGTCATGAAGTATACTGTACCAGGCAGTTAGAACACACTTCTGCAAAGAGGTGAAGTTATTTTCCCACGGAACAACACGTGTTAATCAGTAACCAACTTCAGTCTCTACTTGAGACATTCAGGAAACACAGAACAGGAAGCTGACTAAGGATTAGGTTAAACTCTGCATCGAGGGCAATGTAAAGGAAGAGTCTGACATTTTGGGATGTACAGTACAAAGCGTACCGGAGATAGATCAGAACATACTTTACCTCATTACTATACAGAGTAGAAATAACTGAAAACATCAACAAATGTTGTTCTGAAAGCAGAGTTATAACAGTGGCAGACCTGCCACCCAACCCATTTACCTAGAATACTTCACAAGATGAACAATGTCCTTACAGCTAACCTAATGATATACTGTTCCAGGTGCAACATGGAAAATAATGACTTTTGGTGTGAATGCTACAGTATCTTTCATTACGTATCACCATAGAACAAGCTGTATTACAGCTTATAATGGAATTAAGAGGTTAAAAACATTTACTCAAATACTGTGAAATCTAATTGCACTTCAGTACTAGCTCTACCTTGACAGACAAAGACTTTGACATTCTGCTCACATTAATGCATGAGTAATGTAAATCATTCATTCACATACGATAACATAATAACAATGACACATTATAATATATTTACAGGGTTCCATGCCTTGATACACTCTATATCTTCTTTTTGTTTCTGTCTCGATGCTTCTATCTTTACACTTGTGTTAAATCACTTTTGTCCTCTGGTTTTGCAGAAATATTCCAACTACAGGTGAAATGAGAATTAATGTTACACTTTAACTTATGTTATACTGACAGGGGCCATTCTGCCAGCATAATTTCTGCTCTTACTTTTCCAATTTAACACATTTTTCTGGTGATTCTTATCTATATTGCAGTATTATCATTTGGAAAGCAGGCGGGCCAGCAGCCCTGCCCGGGGATTACAAGGAGTAAAAATACTCCTGCCATAGATTACATGGACTTTAAACATGAAAACAAATACTATTGGAAATCAGCAGAAGTTAGTGAACATGGACCACGAGATGCTGCTTCATTTATAATATATCCCGCTCCCAATGGTCCCCCGCTGGGCGTTCCTCCCAAAAGCACCTGACCCCGAATATCAGCTTCATATCTTACTGGTGTAAAAGACGCTTCGTTTATCAAACACACTTTCAAAGAGCAGTGTAGGCTACTTTAACAAACTACCGCTGAACAACTGAACCTTTTACATTTCTTAATAGCGCTGTTTTCTCCCACAGAGAGCGGTGACTGCTTACTGACTCTGTGTTAGTCTCATACTGAATAACGTGTTAGCATGTTAACCATAGAGTATACAGTAAATGGTGTTAGCATGTGACGGCGGGAAGCTAACTCACCTTGGTTTGACAACTTTGTAATAACATTAATTTTATCCAGCTCTTCAGCAGCCATAGTGAGGAATTCTGTAACCAAAGTCCAACAGGAAGTGCTTCCTCGCGACACACCTGTAAGGTAGACTCCTCGCGCGCGAGCTACACACCTACAGAAGGATTCAAAAGGCAGAGCACCTGCAAGCCCTGACTATGGGCATAGATTTGTCTCATAATTATTTGTGTGAACACAAAAATAATTTGTGTGTAAATATGTGATTTGTAAATGTAAAACACCATCCACAAATGCATTGTGGCACCCAGACCCCACATTTCACAATTTGGGATGAATTAAGTATCTATCTATCTATCTATCTATCCATCTATCTATCTATCTAGAATCCAGATAGATACATAGATAGACAGATAGATAGATGGATATATACATAGATACTTCATTCATCCCAAATTGTGAAATGTGTGGAAACAAGTATAAACATAATAACATTAAATACAAATAAAAGCAATAGACAGGAATATATGCATATACAGTAGAAAGGACACGATGAATATTATAATATTTAATGTAGCTTACTATGAAGGCTAACCTATACGGTGCCTTTCCACAGATTACTTTACCACTGCACTGGTAAGGTAAAACTAGGCCGATTAATAAAATGTGAAGTGCTTTGTAACTTTGACCCGCTTGACTTGGGTTACCGTACAGCCAATGCGTGACGTCATTGGTAAGCGTAACGGACCCGAACACATCTGGTAGGCCGAACATATATGGTACCTACACCGGCTGTGGCCGTTTCTCAATCGCGAGGATATTGGCTTCCAAGCCAATATTTCAAGGATGCTACGTCATCGAGTGCCGCAGAAGGACTGTTCCAATCTCCAGCATACTTGGAATTCCACCGAGGCCGCGTCCTTGGTTTGGGGGAAATTTCGAGGCTGCACATGGGTAGACTTCGCGTCCTTAAAATCCCCACAATGCTTTGCGCATGGACCAATTTCCCCAAATCTGTGGCGGAAGATGTAAGGCGGGCCTCTCGTATGACGCACACCTGCACACTTGCTAGCGTGTTCCACTCTTCGTTTTCCGAATGCCAGGAAGTATTCTTGACTCGCTTCTGAAGCGAGATGCTCGGCAGACATGTGCTACCAAGCAAGCGTACTCGCGATTGAGAAACACCCATGGTACTGACACGGGAAAAAATCTGCCACTTCCTTACAGAGCCCCTCCTCCGACACACACGAACGCGCACATGACCAATGAGGGCACGAGATAAGTTTGTGCACAGATGGAAGGCTGACAGGCAGGTAGGCCATCCAGTTATTTTAGCCGGGCCGGCTAAAATGGTTGGTCGTGCTTTTTACAGTACTACGGCTTCCACAGATGACATTTGTGTGGATTTTTTGTCAAAGCACTTAAGATATTCATTGCTATCGGGATGTTAAGAGCATTCCATGGAATATAACAAAAAGTGTCTCTCGAGCCGGTTTCTCAAACTTACCTACCCTACCTTTAAGTATGTTGCACTTTATACGATTAAATAAAGATACACAATAACATTTGCAAAAGTCAAATATGATATGAGTACAGGATTGAGCATTGTAAATAATTGACAAGATAGTTGTGTATTTATTATTTATTCATTACATTACATATTACTTGTTAGACGCTTTTATCCAAAGCGACTTACATACTAAATACTGTGGGCAATCCCCACAGGAGCAATTTGGGGTGAAGTGTCTCAGGGACACAACGACATGACTGCAGTGGGACTCGAACTTGCTATCCTGATTCAAAGATCAGCGCATTAATCCACTGCGCCACACGCCTCCTCCCCTATTCATAAGGTTGACTTTTGTTTTGGAGAAAAGTAACATTTAAATAAAGAACATGACTAACGTAATTTAAAGCTTCATTAAAGGTCCATGACATGGCCATTTCTACTGATCATAATAATAAAGCGCTACATAACACACAAGGGGACGGGTAATAACCAGAAAAGCATGTCATGGGACCTTTAAGTTACATAAAATAATTGAGCAAATTATGTTTGATACATATGGTTAAGAGGAAACAAATAAAGTAAAGCATGATTTAATCACTATGTAGTCATATGTATATTACATTTGTATAAAATGAAACATTTTACACATGGATGTTAAAGATTGTAAAGGTGGGTTACATGTGCAAGAGAGGAACGCGCTTCCTTACCGTGTGGTACAAGGTTGTGTGTCAGTCCTTTGAAAAAATTACGAGATGAGACGGCATACTCATAATTTAATTTATTCTTGGACACGTTACCTCACAAAACCATTATTTTTGCACAACAAAGCATTCGTTTTTCAGACAGATGGGAATGTTTAATATACTTTTCATACACTCATATTTGTAACACAAATCAAAACAACAAAACACAGAATTTCTTTAGTAACATCCACTGTATTCCTTCCAGAGTAGCTAGAGGGAGCAAGAGGGAAGAAAGGGTTGGGGCAACACACAGTAAACATCTCAACTCTAGGTTTGTCTGGTCACTATGGACGCTCAACTTATTCAAAATCTGAGTTTATGCCAATTTGATGCCACTGACAGGGCGTGGTGAAAATAAGTAGTCCACTATATATCCACCCTCAGGTAAATACTAATATGATGCCATTTATAGTTATATGTTGTGATGCTTGCAGGCTTGAATCACCATCTCTGGCAGTCTCAATGAAATTAGAACTGTATGAGCTTCACCTACTGATACGGACCGCTCAGACATCTTTCCTCAGTAGGAAACCTCTTGCTTTAAGTGGCAGAACGATATTACATTGCATGTATTTAAAGAAGAAAAGAAGAGGGTGCAGCAGTACCACACCCCAATAAATAAGAACTCATTTATGATTTTAAGGATATGTTCATATTTTTGCAATCAATGGGGTAGACATTACAACCACAGACACTCCATACACAACCTTACATTACAGAACATCTACAGAAAGGGGGTATTATTACCCCGGGTACCCTCAGGGTAGGGAAGTGGGGGTGAGTTGATTAAGAAGAAGATAAACTGGAGGTGATAAGAACAGTGGAGAAGAGGAAGTGAGGGCTGTAGGGTGAGAAGAAAGAAATGAACAGAGGGAGAGGAGGATATGGAGGGGGGAGCAGGGAACCCTCCGCTGTGCCTCAGTGACGGGCCGCAGACTCCCTGGGGTAAAACTCAGCCAGGGTGCTCTGAGGAATCCTCTTGAGCATCTCCTTGGGGAAGATTCGAAGCAGCTGCCAGCCGATGTCCAGGGTTTCATACACGGTCCTGTTGTCGTACGGGCCTGAGGAGCAAGAGCACAACGCTGCTGGTAAGCAAACACAACCTACTGCGGCTGGATAATGCACTCTACTGTCTCTACTGAACATCTCATCCAGCTGAGATGTTCCTGAAAATTGTCCGTGAAGAAAGATATCAAAACATTTAGTGTTAAAGCTGCAGGATTAGAATTGTTTCATATCTGGCTAATTTCTATAAGCAGCAGACACAGCAACATTGGAGCAAATTTTTTTTTTAATTAAGTCTAATATTTGCTCTACTGGTAGCTCTAGTTTGGTCTCCACCACCTACTGATATCAGGTACTATTTTCCACTTTGTTCGCCAACAGTGTCCGTCTAGCGTGTGCTGAGCAGGAAGTGCACAGAGAATTTATTTAAGCAATAAAAACAGCTGCCGGCGACTGCAAGTGAGGTAAATAAGGGCGGAGTTTAAACCAAAAGAATGCGGTAAAACAGGCTAAAAAGCTTGTCAGAGGTTTAATTGTGGTATCGTGTTTGGGTATCTGAATCCTCAGCCAGCAGAACAGCACTAGCAGAGAACGAGACCATATTTCCCACACTCATTTAGTTAAAGTTGCATAAGTGACGAACCAAAAGCTGGCATGCGGTCACAGTGTTTACAAAACTCTACTTCGATAAAGTCCAGACACACGACAAACTGATGGGCTGGGCGTTGTAGGGATGGGGGGGCAGAGGAGGCCGGGAGGAAGGGGTTTTATTTTGTGTGGTGTGTAAAATCTTCTAAATAGATAACAATGTTAAGATTGAGATGTAGACTGTAAGTTATACAGAGAGTAAAGTAAATATTGAAAAAAGTTACTGCAGGGACACATTTAAAGGTCAACCCTGGACTGCTTTCACATTACAAATATTATTTTAAACCTTTGTTTATAACAAATACATAGAAGGTAGAATCTGCCTACAAGTGGTTAGAATACTGTCTGATAGAAGGGCACTATGGGTAATCTTATGCTTACTTTTGATTAATCATCAAAAATAGAAATATGTGCTCTACAGGTCATGCTGTAGTTTTCAAAATACTGAGAAATCATAACATAATTCAATTTGTTTTTCAAGGGCAACATACCAAGAGCTTTTATTGTGACCACAGCAACCTCACAAATTGGTTGTGGCATGACATCAACAATTCTTTATCAAGGACTTTGTATGAGATTTTAAAACTTGTATCTTTTCTCTTCCTTTGTCATGTTCAGGTTACCATCTATGCAGCAACAACTCCTCAGTAACTGTCATTAGGTGGAATCTGTACAAAGAATGTCTTGTAGTGTTTCACGGTGCACCAATACTAGAAAGGTATCGCGATACCCTGCCGTTAAAACCGTTACGATTCCTCCATTTCATTAGTATCGGTACTTTAAGAATGACATTGTTTTAATAAGAGCCGTATTTCCTGTGTGTGTTCAGCGCTCTGCTTCCACTCCCTGCAGCCGTTGTCAGCTCCTCTAAGAGACTGTGTTTGTTGTTTGAGATGATGCTGCTGTTTTAGTTCATCTGGATTCTTGTGTTAAACTTTCCTGTCGGCTCCCAGACCGTAGTCGAGGAAAACAGGGGATGACTCTCTGCAGTCTTCCAGGGCCAAAGCAACAAACTTCGGGTTCAATAACCCACTTTTCAATAAGGCAGACAGGCGAGCTCTTCTTTGGGAGGCCGTTGCATTTATTAAGGTGTTTGTTACAGATCTAACTTTGAAGACACTCGACAGACCTATTTTGCTGCTGCTTCGTTCGCTTCAAAACACATACCACCGCTCGCTCACTCTCGCATGCACACACACACATGCACGCGCCACACCCCTCTCTCTCTCTTAGACCCTGTTTACACGAGGACGAAACGGGTTGTATCCGCATAGTGTCTCTTGCGTATAGCCCTTTCGTTTACACGAGGCCGTAACAAAACTATAGAAACGGACCCCGCAAACGATAACGGGTCCCAAGGTGGATAGATCTGCAAACGGAACGCTCTGGGGGGTCAAACGGATCCGTCTGTACGCCTCTATACGATCATTTTCTGATAACTGATCTTATGGTGGTCTAGATGCCCTGCCATCTGCCTTTTGGTTTTTCCCCTGTAGTGATGTGGGACAGAAACACTCAGTCTGTCCTTGTCTCAGTCTTAACAATTGTCTACTCAAATGCATATTTAGTAGTCTGGTTTTTTTTTTTTTTTGGCGCATCATTTGCAGGTTTGGCCATGCGGATTGACTCTCGTAATATTAGGTGGGTGCCGGTATAAAAAGAACCCGACCCTCACATCACTTCCGCCGTGCCTCCCTGACCTGTAAAGTCTGACCTAAAGCCAAAGGTCATGTTTTTATTCAAATTAATCTTTGTCTGACCAACAGAACAAAACAAAAACAAATTACAAACTCAAATTTGAGAAGCAGGAACCAGAAAATATTCAATATTTTTACTTGAATTATGCCTCGACTGATGTCTTAACTACAGAAATGGTTGGTGATAAATGTTCTATCAATTGAATAATCAGCTTATATACAGCGAGTGAGTGAAGGCTGCCTTTGTAAAGAGACAGTGGTTGCCGGGTAACCCTCTTAATATTATATAACTATTTATTATTATCTACTATTTTTATTTATCTAGATCAGGGGTCTCCAACCTTTTTTAGGATGAGAGCTACTTTCACAAAATAAAACAAGTCGTGAGCTACTTTTACTCCTCTTTTTTTTTTTTTGCAGTGTATATATTTAGCACATTTTAACATTATGATATGCTGACCTTTAACCTTTGTGTGCTGTTTGGGTCTGTGGGACCCGTTTGCAGTGTTTACTAAAAGAACATGTATGCAATTTAATTATTTTAACCTGCTTTATTTGGGGGTGGACCTCACCTCCTCTAGGGGGGTCCTCACCTCCTCTAGGGGGGTCCGGGGACATGAAACCCCCGGGAAGATTTGTTTTTATGTTGAAGTGAAAAGCATCAATCTGGAGCACTTTGAGCACAACATGAATTGATGGATACAGCTCTCAACACTCAGATGAAAGGGAGCTGTATACTTTTCAATAATCCAAACATCTTTAGAATATGATCACAACCAATAACAAAATCATTTAAACTTGTTTATTCTTATCTTATGTTACCTAGTTAGCATTCTTTCTTTCTATTTATGCATATTTTACTAATCACTCCCCTTTCAAACTGTTTTTTGTTTTTTTACTCTCCTATAGTACACATTGGAATGATTTCTTACTTTATTAACTGTTTATTATTTTTTACAACTAGGCTATATTAAATAGATGAAGGTGTGCTCTCTAGCTCTCTCTCTAGCTCGCTCACAGAGGCTGTGTGCTCCTCCGTGGCGATGACGGCTTGCGTTAAAAAATTTTTTTTTATATATATTATATTTATATTTGTAAAGTGGGGGGACACAAACGGGATTTGGCAAAGTGTCACAGTTAAACTCCTTATGAAGCGGTGCGCTGCCGCTCCACATTGCTTTTCTTCCCGACTGCAACGCTGGTCCCGCAAATCAAGCAAGAACGTGATTGGTCGATATTCATTGTGGGGGGAGGAGGGGTGTTAGATAGATATAGAGTTGTAGTAAGTAGATAGAGTTCGCTATGATTGAGATTTCGTTTATGCATAGGGTAGATTCTTTTAATTACATTTCCTTTTTTTGTGTGTGTATTTTTTACATTTTGGATTTGCTTGGCAAGCTATTTATTGAGGGCTCGTGAGCTAGCGGTAGCTCGCTCCGACGTGTTGGAGACCCCTGATCTAGATGAACTACCTCTGGAACTAAGACATGGAAAATATGCGAGTGGTTCCCTAAGCTTGTTCCTACCCTGAGCAATGAAGTTCTTCTCAAACTTCTGCAGGAACTCCAGGTAGAGCAGATCATCCGAGGTGAGGGCTTCTTCTCCCACCACAGCCTTCATGGCCTGGACGTCCTTACCAATGGCATAACAGGCATACTGTAGACAGGAAGATAAAAACAAATTATAGTGAAAATCACTTCAAACGATGGCGAAAAAAGGAATCTTGTTAAACATCATTTCTCCTCCATATATTATCATCGGCTTTTAGTTTAAATCTGATTTCTGTTCAAAGGAAAAACCTTGACTCCGGGTCACAGGATGCATTATTTATGTACAACAAGTGAGATGTGTTACCAGCTGGTTTGAAACGTCAGCGTGGTCCTTCCTGGTCATCCCCTCCCCGATGGCTGACTTCATCAGACGGGACAGTGAGGGCAACACATTAATGGGTGGGTAGATCTGAAAATCAGTAGGACATTTTGTGATTAATGTATTGTTAATGCAGAATGTGTCAAAGAAACACTTCTCAAGTTGTAGCCCACAGCTAAATGACTGACTCCTCTGCAACTTTATTCTTCCCGTTTATAACTCTAAAGCATTACGGGTTCTGTTCCCAAACTAGAGAACAACTGTCCACTAATTGAAGTAAAACAAAGACCTATGGGGGAAGTGGATATTATTATTAGTTTCAGATTGCTTTGTGTTGTAAAATCTAAATATCTTGACATTAAAAAGCTCAGAATATATGAACATTATGAATTCCTTGGCTATGGTCCTCTATCCATTCTTATTAGCATGTTTGCTTTATTAAAAGGTTAGGAAAATGGCTAAGAATGGAATTGGTGTTGCATTAGTTGATGCTCAAGTCCCAAAGATTGATTCTCCCCTCGTTAACTGACCCCACTATAGGTAGTGACTAGTAATCACTCCATATGTACATGTACAGCTAAATGAGCAGTACATCATGGGCATACTGAAAATAAGCTAACACTGAAAGCATCCAACCTGGAATCGAGATGGATGTGGGATGAATGTTGTTTTAAGGAGACAGTTTTACAAAGAGCTGGTGAGTACCTGTCTGTTGTGCAGCTGCCTGTCAACGTACACCTGCCCCTCTGTGATGTATCCAGTCAGATCAGGAATAGGATGGGTGATATCTGTTAGAGGCAAACAAATGTATTAAATCACAATGTATACCCCATATAACTGTGCCTTTATCCCTGCAGTTCATCACTGTCAACACTTTTATAAAGCCTCAGTTAAGTTTACATTTACAGTGAAGAACCTTCTTTTGAGACAATTCAAATCATTCACTGATATAAAATAATGTGACACACACATGGGACAGAAATAGGCAGAATGTCTGTCAGCTTCCCCTTTTAAACACCTCAACTCTAAATCAAGAGCAAAGAGCTCTTGGGAACCGTGGCAGTGTTTAGTAAAAGCCGACAATCACCTCCCTGTAATGCTCGAATGGGGGACTCCTGTTCAACTAAATAAAAGTAGGCTCTTCATACGTGTTGCCATGGTTACTGCAAGCATAAAAAATGTCTCCTCAGTCTATTTGAGAAGCCCACTACAGTAATTAAATCAATGACTTGCAAAGAGATTTAGGGAAAAACAATATAAAAGTAAAATCTGCAAGACCATACTGAAAGAAAAGAAAAGAAAAGATTATATATATATATATTAGGGCCGTCAGTCGATTAAAATATCTAATCACATGATTGTCCATAGTTAATCGCGATTAATTGCACATTTTTTTATCTGTTCTAAATGTACCTTAGAGGGATATTTTTCGTGTGTGTGTGTGTGTGTGTGTGTGTGGAGACACTGTGATGGATCGTTGGAGCTATGTGCAGCTCAAGGCATATATGCTCGAACGGGAGCTGCCTGGACGCTGCAATCATGTTGCGCGTACTATCCGTGCTGAGTGTGCTGACTTTTCGTACAATGTCCCACTGTCTGGCTACCTGCATAAAGTCAAGTGCTCGGCGCAGTTGTCGCTCCTCTGTTTTCATTGAAACAGCTCCTTATATGCGTTAGCATCTGGTGCTAGCTAGCTGCGCTAACAACAACAACAACACGTAAGGTGTGCTTCGCTCGCCCCACACATACACACACCCTCCCGGTCCTCCCGATGGCCAGTCCGGGCCTGCCGGTGAGCGTGGAAGTGTGGTCTGCCACAAGCGGGCAGCAGGAGCGGGGCTGTCAGCATCAGCTTGTAGATGGTATTTTAAACTCGATGCGCTCTGAAACTACGGCGGCCGAGGACAAAAAATACACATGCGTTAATCGCGTTAAAATTATTAGTGCCGTTAATTTTGTTTTGCGTTAACGCGTTATTAACGCGTTATTAACGCGTTAACTTGACAGCCCTAATATATATATAAACACTGCTTTGAGTTCATGTAACATGTTCATAATTAATATCCATGTCATCTCCAAGGCTGACAGCTGTGAAGATGTGATCTTGGTCCAACTCAAAGCAGAAAGCTCATCTCCTCTCACCGTCATTGGGCATGGTCAGAATAGGGATCTGTGTGATGGAGCCGTTTCTGCCCTCCACCCGGCCGGCACGCTCGTAGATGGTAGCCAGATCAGTGTACATGTAGCCGGGGAAACCTCTACGGCCGGGCACTTCCTCTCGGGCAGCAGAAACCTGAAGGGGAGGAGAGGGTGGTGAGTGAGAGCTGCAAGAACAAAAGCTAAGGGAACACTGTTGCATGTACGTTTTCATCAATTCACCTGTGACTACTTGAGAACACAAGAACAAGCTGACAATAAAAGGGGAGTCATGATCATGTACTGTGGCAAACATGTTGGCAAACTATTGTCCCACTACAAAATGATGAATGATTTGCCAAGATTCACTCTTTTAGCTCTGCATCAAGTCTTCAGGAGAATATGTGGCTCTTTAGCTGCTAAATGCTGCACTCTGTTCACCAGCTAGTAGGTGAGATAACTGCAGTAGGCTTATCAACTGAGTCCAAGTGAGTAAGCTAAGCTATCATGGGTTAATGAAAACAGCAGGGGACAGTTGTTTCTAAAAACCAAAAATGGTGGCTGCCAGTAAACCAAGATGTATTTTGTTGTCTGAAATCAAGTATGCACTATTTAAAAACGGATCTTGAATGGTAAATACTCCATGCAATCACTGTAAACTGCCATAATAAAATAGACACTTTGGTCTGATCTATAAGAGATGTTCACTAAAGGAACACTTTGCACATTTCCCACAGTAAACTTTGGTTTATAGAAATACAAGTCTAGCTGTCCAGACCTATTGGGTAGAAAAGGGGGAGGTTGATTCATTTCCAGTCATGATAATAGATATTTAATTTTTAAATCTAAAGTAAAACATAATCTTGCTGAATAGATAATAAACTAAAAGCATTTACTGTAGGAGTCAAGTGACTCTTTTAGTAGGTTTCACAAGAGGAAACCGCTGGTTGAAAAGATTCCTTCTGTTTTCAGGTCTTCTATAAAAATGACCAAAGCAATTCCTTGTTCCCAAAGTCAAGTGAAATAGGAACAGAGGGAAAGAAAATGTGTCCCATTCATGCTGGGATCCAAAGGTTGATGGGCAGGCTAAATACTTGTGAACTGTACAATCAACGCAAAACTCAACCTTCACATGCATGAATGGAACAGAAGATAAATGTTAATGTCCTCCTGGCTCTTTGCAGCTGCTCAAACACCCATCAAGCTACAGAAGTCTTAGCTGAATGTTGCTGCTGTGTACATCTGCCAAGGTTATGAAGAGCGAAAGCAAGAAGGGACGTATGCACATGAACCATTTAAAACATGCATTGTGCTGCCAGCGCCTTGAGACAGCCAACTGTACAACATAAAAGGGTTATTACAGAGACACAAAGGAGTGAGGGGGGGGGGGGTTCTGACTCCTCGCCACAAGGTGAGAGGAGGACATTGGCAGGGGGCATTTCCTTTAGAAGCCAACGGGACAAAAATGAAGGTTTGAATAAAGGACACATTATCTTCCCTTCAGCAGAGAGCACAAAACTTTAGTTAGTCCATCACCTTTGTGCTAATGCTGCAGAGAATTCACACTGGTGTGTTATGTTCACATGCTGCCATTCCTGAACATCATACTGGATATTCTGGACATGTGGGCTTTGTTAATTAAGAGACAGAAAACAGTGCCTCCTCTCGACACAGAGTGGAGCAGAGGCGAGGCCATTGAAGTGTCGGTACGAGAACATGCTAGCGTGCTAACCAACTCTGTGTTTATAGCTGAGCTAGACAAGACCATTTTCAGTTCAATCAGACCGTGATGCCGTTTTGTCTTTATTGGTCTCTGTAGTTTGCTGTAGGGGATCAGACAGCATTTAATGTGAACGGGCACTGTGCAGTTGACACACTAGTCATCATTTTTATTATTGAAAACTAAACTTCTGGCATAATTCTGTTATGGGAGAGCAGAATAACTGGGGTAAAGAGGCCAGCTTAGACAGCTTGAACATATTTTATTTGTAAGTAAATGCTGCACAGTGGATCTAATAAAAGCCAACATGAAGATTGGTTTATGTGGACTTTAATATCTACTGAGAAATATTTTAGAAGTAACTGTGACATTTAAGTGTGTTTAATTGGGCTATACTTGAGAGACCAGACATGTCAGAGAACTCAGAATGTAAGACGGACTAACTTATTAGAGATTTCTTGACAGGAAGATAAATATTGAAAATAATCAATATAGACATGATGAATCAATCTTTGACACCATGTATAATTCATTCAGATTTACCGCTTTACCTTTCCTTATGCCAAAGAGCCTTTCTGCTGACGGAGAATAAAGAGAGTTGTGTCAGTTTGACCGGGGGTTCAAATGAGCTTGTTAACTATCTCTGAGATGGATCATATGAATGGTTTGTAATTTATATTAATATGGTTTTTCCATAGCCAGATACAGTCAAAGAGATTTGTATATCTTGTAAAAAAAAAAAAGGCCTGTCCTAAACATTCTATGTTTAAAGATTGAAGCACATCAAGCCTGGGATATTAAATGCAGTTTTAGGTACATAACAAAATGTTCAGCTGTGACTACATACAAATACTGAAACACATCGGGCACCTTCCTGTTAGTTTCCAGCAGGGCCTACACCAAACACACTACAGATACTCCGGATTGTAAACTGCATGCGAGACAGATGAGTGGTTACCTCTCTGAGAGCCTCAGCGTAGGAGCTCATGTCGGTGAGGATGACCAGCACGTGCTTCTCACACTGATAGGCCAGGTACTCTGCTGAGGTGAGCGCCAGACGAGGGGTGATGATACGCTCGATGCTGATTGGTCACAGAAAAAGATCAGTTATTCTATTGCTCACAACAACTTGAGGAATGAAATGTATTTCCAACTTGTCTTTTAAAGACTAGCGATACATTTAAGAATTTTAAGACAATAAAGAACATCATTCAGAATCAATAAGCAAGCTAAACACTGTCTCATTGAGATCCTTTCTGATTGGATCTTACGTGGGGTCGTTGGCCAGGTTGAGGAAAAGGCAGACGTTGTCCATGGAGCCATTCTCCTCAAAATCAGACTTGAAGAAGCGGGCAGTTTCCATGTTGACCTGACACAAAAATGATACAAGTTAATGATACAGAGTCACCGTGAGTGAAAGATCTTCAACCATTTTCACTAATCAGAAGACTTTTGCAGACATCACATATGCAACAACACCGAGGTAAAGAGACTGGAAGGTGACAGGTGCATTCGATGCTCTGAAAATACCGTGATGTTAATGATTGTAGTTGGCATTGTTGATTTGACCAGTTTCAGGATGAAGCTGCAGGAGAGTGTAATAGTTCATGGAGGGAGTGAAGGGAATTGACCCAACTGTGAAGTCCTACTCCTTTTTGGGATTCATAATTCAGTCAAATCTTATTTTATTGTGATTCTGTGCTTTCAAATAATGTAAGTTTATCCAGAGACCCTGGGCTGACCTGGCTGCTAAATCGTCAAGCTTTCTGTTGCAAATGAATATTCGATTAATCCTAGGGATGCCACAGGTGTCATTAGTGGCATTGATCTTTTGGTAGCACCATAAATAACATTCATATGACAAAAATAAAATAAAGTAAATCTGTCAAAAAAATTGGGGGGAAATCAACATGCCATAAAATAAGACTACAGACAATACAATCTTTTTTATTTAACCTTAAATCTCCCTTTGGATCCTTTTTTACATTTGATGGAAAGCTCTTATAATTATTAAAATAGCCAGCAAGGATTTTAAAATAGTTACACTTCTTGACAAATGTCTTGACTCTGAGATTTGTTGTCATAAACTGTCTAACAATAAGAAAAATAAAAACACACAGCTCCTACTGTTGGAATAAAACTATCAGGAGACAGACACATTGAAGTTACTGGTTACACGGTAGGGCTGTGCGATTATGGCAAAAATCATAATCACGATTATTTTGGTCAATAATTGATATCACGATTATTAAATACGATTATTCATTGACTTTGAAAACATCCATTTATTGAACTTTTAAATACAAATAATAATTTGAACAGTATCTTTGTAACTGTTGATTTCCCTGAGCGTATAATTCAACTGAAAAACCAATACAAAAATAAATAAAATAAATGATACATTTATATCTACATTTAAATAAATAATATCAAAATAATAAATACCAATAAACAAGATCAACAAATATTTTGGAGCGCACTTCAACAAGCTACTAAACATATATAAATATGATAAATACAAATACATTTGATCAAATATGTTGCAGTGCACTGTCACAACCTAGCAAAGCAAAATAATCGTTTTTTTCGATTATGTTGTTTTCGTAATTGTGGCAGGCCAAAATCGTAATTGCGATTAAAATACGATTAATTGCACAGCCCTATTACACGGTGTCCTTCAATTTGTCTTTTTTATAAATGTATATCCATGTGTGAATCCCTATTAACACAGACTCTCCACAACGAGAAGTGAACTGGTGAAGTAGAGGAAGAGGGGGGATTATTACTAAGCAAGTGAAGCAAATCTGTGTGTGAGTGTGTGTGTGTGGTAGAGGTTAACCGGTCACAATTGAGGGAATTATAGCAGAGTGAGGGGCAGCTGAGGAGCAGAGAACCTGATACTCGTCTGGCAGCGTTAAAGGACCTGTTGAATTAGTAACCTGTGTCCATGGCCGGGGATATGCTCAGAGGTGCAGAAGTAACAAGAGGGACTTAAAGGTTAAATCACCTGGTGAATAAAAGACAGAAAGCAGGGCGGGAGAGAAGGGACAGGGTGTCTGCCAGGGTTTAAAGGAGGATTAGTCACAAATGATGGGGATGGGGGGGGGGGGGGGGGGGGTGGGTGGGCTCTGAACAAGTGTCAACTGAATGCTGCAGTTTTTGTCTGCTTACCCCCATGGCTGCAAAGACAATTGCAAAGTTGTCAGAACTGTAGTCCATCACATCCTTGGACTTCTGCACCAGGCCGGCCTGACGACAGATCTGAGCAGCGATCTGAGAAAACACAGTCAAGACTTTAGGTACATGTTGGATGTCAACTCAAAGAACAAACATGCATGTGTGGGGGAATGTGAATAATACATTGGCCTTCTTGCCTTGCATATTTTCATTTTATTTTAGGAATAAATATTGAAGGCATTATCTTCATTACCAACCAATGGGCTTGGAGTCAGTTTACTATTCCAATACTTACTTGTAGATCAATGTATTGTAATAAGTGAACAATGAAACACATTTAGATTATCAGTAGATGATTAAAGTATTCAATAAATACCAAACCACTGAGTAGATTTACTCAAGTACTGTACCCATGCACATTGCACAATTTTGAGATAGTTGTACTCTTACTCTACTACAATTCAGAGGTTAATAGTCTACCTCTACTCCACTACATGTATTTAATACCTTTAGTTACTTTACAGATGTGGATGAATGATGTGAAACATCAAGTGTTAAATCAGACTTTAGTTCCACCTGGAGTAAATTCACAAGCTACCCTGCAGTATACAAAGTCATTCAAACTAGCTGCACCTTTACCAGCTTTGAGAACACTTTCATGATCAATCATTATAAAACATATCATATATATTATTCTGAAATGGACCAATCTGCACAATGACTACTTTTACTTTTGATACTTTAAGTGTACTTGGATGCTTATACTTTAGCAGGACTTTTACTTGCAACAGAGTATTATACTCTACTTTCACTTAAGTACAAGATTTGGATACTTCTGACATCTCTGACTGCACAACCCAATGCTTTAGTGAAACTAATAACTGGTGCATTGTGAAGAGCTGGTGTTATACTTGATGAATTTGTGGAATGAAAGAGGAATTTCACGCTCATCACATGAAGTCATGGCTGCGGGGTTGATCTGCCTGACCTCTGCCTGACCTCTGCATGCCCCCTGAGTCCAGCACCTGGCCCATAGAGGAGAGCAGCATGCATGACCTCTCTGACATGTGCTTAATGAAACAATGAGACAAGTTTTCACACCATTCCATGGCATGCAAGCGGCTCATCATTAGCGGGACACCACACGGCCCCGCAGTAGGAAACTTCGGGTTTTTTAAGTGGGATTGACTGCCGCTCATAACACAAAAACATGTAAAAGTGTAGTTGCAAGCTCAGAGTCCCATTTTGAGTACACCAACATTTTATGTTAGAAATGTATAGTAGGGTCACCAGCACATAGAAACTGCCGGATGCTCACTTGCATACATTGGGCAATTTTCACAATTAGCACAAGTTACATTAATTACCATTAATTACCATAATAGCCTATGTGGACAATTGTAAAAAAAAATGGCTTGGCAGGAATGGAGGTTATTCCGAGTCCATTACAGACATTTTCAGAATCTGAATATGAACATATCTGGTTTTAACCAGATACCAGATAGTGGCCATATTTGTTCTCCCTGTGGGCGGATTTTGACACATTTTTGGTCGATTTGGAAGATTTAGGGGACTCTGGATCATTTGGATTGCTTATTTAATTGCAAGAAAATTGTCCACAGTAGAGATACAAATGTTGATTTTGTGCTCTCTATATCCAATGGTCACAAACCTACTCGAAAACAGCCCACAGAGGGTACAGATATGTCCACATTCTGGTGAAAACTTTGATCGTGAATAAATCAGAAATGGATTCAGCATTCTCAATAACCACTCCAAAATTGTCCAATTCAGCCAAGTCCTGAAGAATAACCGTTTAAACATTTTTTAAATATATTTTCCTCTTTACTTTCTTAAAAGCTTACAGTGTTTTCAGGCTTCGTTACATTTTAACAATACATTTGTCTCAGAGAAGAAAACAGTAAAACCCCAAATATACTTGTTAAAAATATAACATCCAATGAGCTAATAAATGCTTATTTATTTAACTTAGAATAACATTGGGATTTCAAATAAAACTCATGTCATAACTCAAAAAATAGTGCATATCAAAACAACTACAAAAAAAACTCAAAGAAATAGAATACGGACAGGCGCTCAGCATTACATGTAGTCCCTGAGCATTGATGTGTACAGGACTGAACGAGTAAAACAGAAATACAGAGGTCAACACTTCTACAGCCCCTTACTTTATCTGAAGAGCATCTAGCCCAGCCAATGGTCCACAACTCAAGAAACCTCCTTTGTGAAGGCGTGCTTCAGTAGATTGAATCAATCAATATTGTTTTTTTTGGGCCATTGTTTTTGTTTTTTTGCCTTGAAAAGATTTCCAAAGCTGTCCTACTTAAACTAGCGTATTGTGCCAAAAAAAATGTGTTCATCTGGAAAGTATGACCTGATCTCGTTGGCTGTCTGCTGGACCACAATAAAGCTTTGTGCAGCAAACTTTACGTCACCAAGATGGAAACAGATGCTGGAGCAGAAGCCAGAGAAATACAGGCACAGCTGCTTTGAAGCACAAATTCCATAAACACAGGTTATTTCTTCTTTGTGTAATTAATGTTTCACTTCTTTAAATATGGCCACTCACTAGGACATTCTGACTTTCAAACTTTACCTGAAACGCTTTTAAACAACATGATATTGTAGTTTGTAAAAAAAACTATCATATACTTTATGGTAAAACTGAGTAATATATTTCCATTGTGAGGCATGAAAACCCTAAGGAGGAAGCAGAAGTCCAATTGTTGTCATGTGACACTGGGAGACAGCTGACCCACGTGAAGGAGCCGAGTCATCAATGTTAAGCATTTCCACTGAGACAGCCACAGAAATACAAACTAAATGATATGAAAGCTTTTATCTTTAGATTTTGGCACTCCAAGTGGAAACATTGAAAAATGTATTTCCATTTGAGCATGGAGGTTCATTGTTGACCTTGGGAACATGTATGCATGCACAGTTCCAGGAATATTAGAAGAAGCTTAGTTTACTGTCAGTTAGCCAGTAGCTTAATAAATTATTATGAAGTGAACAAATAAAAAAAGGATTGTATTAACATTTGAGCAAATGAGGCATTGAGTTAGTTGAGGGGTTATTTTGTGACAATCTACTGCCGTTTATGCTGTCTTCATGTCAACTATAACGCATGCTCAGAGCAGTGGAGAGGGGGCTGCTGTTTCATGGATTGCTGCTTGTAGTTGTTAAGACTGTTGAAAGCCACTGCACTTTGACATTTCCTGGGATATGATTCCATAGTGGCAGAGCGATAACGACATACAGCTACATTTGGCCAGTTATCCACAGTATGAATAGAAATAGCTAACAACAAATCACACAGTAACTCCAGGTAAAGATTGCATTATTACTCTTCTCATAATATTGCACTCTTGTGAAAATGTTGGAACTGTGATTGACAGTCAAAAAAAGAAGAGAGTCCACATCGATGCTGCAGAATCGTCTATTTTATCCCCCACGCATTCTTCTTGGTCATAACCTGGCCGCCTGGATATATATAGGATCAGGTGTGAAATGCTTAAAGCGGATAATGCAGCCTGCAGCACAAAGAGCTCCAGAGGGAAGCCGAGCCACTTCACATTCCATTATGTTTATAATATTATATATGTATTACTTGTATTTTTTACATTACCTAAAAAATATGTGCTTTTATTAAAAGGCATTTGATGAGGGATCTAATTTTTCTTGTTATATTTATACTCTATGTAAAAACATACATTTGTAATTTGAACTAAATACACGAATGGACGATCACGTATTAAATAAAAGCTGAACTGCTGTACTTCTGATAGTACTTAAAGTCATGCAGAAATATTCCCAGGAAGCTGGTAATAAGGCACTGGTGGGTGTGATCCTGAAGCTGATGAAATAAAGCTGTGGTCTCACCTCGTTGTGGGGCAGCCCAGCAGCAGAGAAGATGGGGATCTTCTGTCCTCGGGCGATGCTGTTCATGCCATCGATGGCCGAGATGCCCGTCTGGATCATCTCCTCGGGGTAGATACGGCACTGAGGGTTGATGGGCTGACCTGGAAAACACAGAAACAGATCAATTACACCAATCACTCTGAGGAATCCTGTTCATAATTAGGAGATTTCAGTTCAATTAATACAATATTTATAACAAATCGTTGTTAACTGCAACTTGTGCTGAAAGAAAACAGTTGGAAAGGTCTTGGGAGGAAGCAGTTAGAATCGGAGTAGGTGTAGAGCAACTGTGAAATTAATAAGTATGAAACTCTAAAATTCTAATATAAAGACCAAATCAGACTAAAAGTAGACTACTCAAATGCTATAAGACACATTGCTCTACAGTGACCAATTTATATATATATATATATATATATATATATATATATATATATATATATATATATATATATATATAATACTCTGTATAGTGTTCACAGGCTCCCTGTGGCTAGCAAGGTCCCAAATGTGCGTTTGAAGATTTACGATACCCGAGTTTTAGTTCAGTTACCAAATTCATATTTCAATACATTACTTTAAGTAGTTTTATTTATTTTTTAAAGTTCCAAAACGTGGAAGCTTTTGCTACACAAAAACAGCCTGAATAAAATGGTCTAAATTTGGCAAACATTGTATATTATTCAGTAAACAGGTTTAATAATGTAGCCAGAAATGTGTAGCCAAATTCCCCTACTTGTCACTTTTCATGATTCAGTGTTACCGTCACATTTCGCCGAGTACCAAAACAGATTTGACAGGAGAACGAACACAAGTAGTCAGGAATTTTGATTTAACCTTATTCTCATGGGAAGTTACCTGAAATCTATATTCTATTATCTATATGTGAAAATAGTGATTTGCCCATTTCATACTCTATGGTGAATTTGCTCATTTAAACAGCATTTTCTTTTTATTTCATTTTTGTATGAAGGTGCAGCTCTCTTGTTAAGATATCCGTCCAGCTCAGAGCATTGTGAAGACGGGGTGGGGGGGGGTCGTACCCATGATGTCCAGGTAGTCCTCAGCCAGGACGGTGGGCCCGCGGTCGATGGGTTTGCCTGAGCCGTTGAACACACGCCCTGAAAGAGGAAGAGTCTTTTTGAGCCAAGTAGATAGTCTTTTATTCGATAAATAACTACTATTTGGTTTATCAGTAGGGCTGAATTCAAGCATAATTACTAAGAAACGGATAGAATGAAATTCATTAGATGACGCTTCCATCCACATCTGATCTATTCTGCTTTGTATCAAACTCGAAACACATCAGAGTGGCTCTGATGGCTCTTGTCGAGTCTACAAGTAACAAGTACAAGTAATTATAATTTCATGGACATGATTAATGATACTTCAGAAACAAAAGCAGGTTTACTTTCTACTGCTGTTGAAATACATTTAACCTTGTTCTGTACTGAGATAATCACACTGATTGAGCGTGCAAGAATATTCAGAAATATGGGTAGAAGTGAAGTAAAAATAAGCATATTGAGGGAAAACTGCAGCTTAACACTTTAAAGTACACTCCACATCTTTGTGGTGCAAACACAGAAGAATGAAAGGGTACTGTGCAGCTGATCACAACATTATTTACTTTAATTCTTAGAATGTTATTTCCGAATAAGGATTACATATGCAAAGAGAAATCAGGTTGATCATACCGAGCATGTCCTCTGACACGGGGGTGCGCAGGATGTCACCAGTGAACTCACAGGCCGTCTTCTTGGCATCGATACCTGATGTTCCCTCAAACACCTGAACAAACAAACGCACGGTTCAGATACAAAACTGTTCAACTCAAATACTTTACTATATATATATATATATACACACACACATACACACATATATACACACATACATATATATATATATATATATATATATATATATATATATATATATATATGTGTATATATACACAAAATACAAAGTTAGTTTTAGTGTCATTTCTATCCTTTAAAGTTTTAGTTGAAGACAAATCCAATTATTTGATGAAATGTCCTTTTTTATGTCCTCAGATTAGGTTGAACAATTCATTAACTTTAGTAGAGCCAAAACAATAACTTTGTGATTTCTTGAATCATTTCTGACCTACTGTACACATTGAGTCTGACTGGAGACACAGTCCTCCTGCACTGAGAAATGTGTTTGCCGATTGTTGCTTAACTTGAAACTTGAAGTTGAGCATCAGTGTGTGATCATTGAGCAGAGTTTAAACGTAGAGAGCAGTAGTCAGATGTGCCGTTTCTCTGAATTTGTGTACACCAACATTTTGTAACGTCACTTTGAGGCCAACTTTTTAAGGATTAAGGATCCATTTAATAATAACAGTAGGGCATTTCATAAAAATGTATCTGGAGGAATGTTAACATCAGCCACTAAGACAACAGAGAGTTCTCTGGGCTGATAAGATGTAGTCACGCAGTAATGCAAGGTACAGCCCAAGCAGCCATTTTCTTATGAAGACGAAAGGGCAATTCGAGAATTTATTGCTAATTATTTGTTTAAAATTCATATTCTTGTGGAAAAATCCTATAAGACACACATTATTACTCAAAACTGGCCTGTTTATATTTTGTGATGCATCCTGTTATCTGGTATATAATGCATTTAGAATTTGCTCATTATTGTTGTTCTCCTTCCACTTTGTATTGCAACTGTTGCAATGGACCTTCCCCCAGGACAAATGAAGTTTGAATTTGATCTGGACTATTTCCAGCTGTGAATTCATTCAAACACCAGCCGGCACATCTGGATTGTGTTCCTCACCTGGACCACGGCCTTGCTCCCGATCACCTCCAGAACCTGCCCGCTCCTCTTGGTGCCGTCCGGCAGGGTCAGGTGAACGATCTCAGCGTACCTGGGGAACTAGTCCGGAGATCAGCACAGAGTCAGAACACATAAGCACTGCAAGAATAATTCATTTGTGAAAAAGAAAGCAGCAAATATTAACATAGAACCATTGTAAAACATATTTAAAAAAATAGTGTTAAATAAATAAAATGTTTAAAGAAATATAAATATACAAAGTATAAAGTAAGAAAAAGAACATGACAAGTTACTCTGAAGAACATTTTTTTGAATGACTAGCTTAAAGTGAATATATGTGCACTTCCCGTGTTGTTCAGTGTTTGAATCTCTATGGTTTTTGCACTTATAAGACGCTTTGGATAAAAGCATCAGCCAAATGAAATGTAACGTAATATACAGGGAATGTGCCAAGTCACAGTATTGCACCACAACTGCCTGAAAACTACCCTAAAACAAGAGTACATCTGCAAATACATCATGATAATATCATATATTATATAGTAGTACTGTACATTGGCCCTCTTTAATACATTTTAACAGTTTTAGACCAGTAGTAATAAACTAAATCATGACTAAAAAACTAGTTTGGTTTTTGGTGAATCTTTCCAGATCTTCAAAGACTTTGTAGTCAATGTACTGGGAAAAGTACCTCATTGACTCCAGTCGGCACAGGCTGTAGGGTCATCTTGACTAGTTTTATGGATGTGGTCTCCATTTGACCATGCTCATAGAAACAAACTTGGCCTTCCTGAGGCAATTCTCATTTGTCATGGCTCCACTTAAAATAAAAACAACAATAAGACATACGTGCTACTCTTGGCCCACAGAGGGCCATGTCTTTCCAGCTCGTCCCTATCTGTCTCTATGTCTGTATCTGTGCGCTCATGGAGCCTCCTGCATCTTTCCCCCCTTCTTCTTGACCCTTTTCTATCCCAGGTGTGAAAGCCTCATCTCTCTCATCATCTGAGAGCTCAAAATCTGAATCTCCCTGAACTATCTGGTACAGAAAATGTCTGCTTCAGTTCCGTCTCCTGCAAGAGTCATTAAGTCCATGAAGATGGTCCTGACGTCCACTAGAATGGACATTTAATAAAGAGCTGTTATTTCAAAACTTGAATTATTTTATTGCTTTCAGAACTAATTATATAGTTCCTCACATGTTAATAAACAAGAACATATAGGATTTTCATGGTAAAAACTACAATTATTCAACAATATTTGACTTCTCCTGCTTCTATAAAATGTTGTTTTTGGTATGCCAGCCATTTTGGATGAAAAGAAAGAGGAACTTCCCAGAATGCAATTTTAACCAATGACATATCACTGGAAAGACCAGGATGTCCTCTGTACAGTACATCAGATATTGATAGAGTAGCTCAAAAGAGTAAAAGGAGATGCATGTTAACAAAATGTCCACTACAGTGGACATTTTCAATGGGCTGGGTCCCAGGAGGCTATAAAGTTGAATAAAAGCCTCACCTTCACATTATCCAGGATCACCAGCGGTCCGTTCACACCAGACACAGTGGAGTAGGCTGAAGGAGAGGAGACAACAGAGTTCATTATTCATTCTTTTCGAGAGGCCACAAGACAGGAAAATAAGGCAGGTAATACTGACATTATTCAAGCCTTTGAGCAGCTGAAAGCCACGATCCACTTAAGAATAAGTAGACGTGGTTACAACCGGCCCGTGTTAATAATCACAAACTGACCTTTCACGGTGAGATTTAAACAGCTTCATGCACTTTCAGACCCAAATGTCAAAGGCAGGTAAATGTCAGGAAAAATGCATGAAATTCACATATGGAAAGATCAACTACACAGACATGTGGTTAGTTCTGAGCCTCACAATAATAGAAGACTAATTGAAGGGTCATTATTGATCAGGGGAAGTGGAAATAACCTGTGGCCTTACCCAACATTAACCCACAATAACGGCAGCAAAAATAACTGAAAGGACGTTCACTTACAGAAATATGTCACGAAAAACATCACACATGGACCTGAACTTCAGCTGCTGTGTATTTATTTCATCATCAATAAGATGAAACAGCAATTTGATACTCCATTTGTGATTAAAGCTCCAGCACACACACACACACATCACTGGACGTAGAGGTCATTTGTCAACAAATGCATAGCGCTCAGTGATTGGTCCATTATTAGGAAGTTTAGTAGTATCGGAAATCATTTTCAGCTAAATTCAATAGGTTGTTCATACATTCGTGAAAACTGCTTTCTCAACATCCTGCAAGAATCCAAAACAATTCACAGCAAACTATTTATTTGTTACTCCTCTTTGAATGACATTAAAAAACATTTGCCACATCCAGATACAGGGTAAACTTGAAAGCATTATATTCCTTATATCTTTTATTAAATGTGTTTTATGTTAGTCCCTAGTTGTGCACACACACACTGACATTTCACATAGCAGAATGATGAGAGTGTTAGAGTTAGTCCCCGAGAGCACTGACCAGTTTAAGTGTGTTATTTCCTGCTCATATCTAGGTCTTATTTCTGTAAAAGGTTTTTATTTATTTATTTTTAAATCAAAAATCGTTGTCGTCTTTCTTTTTCAAATAAAATAATGCTATCGACTGATGTTATTTTGTATATTGGGTTTTGATTAAAATAAATCCAATATCATGAAGCTTTTATATATTTGATGACGATTCCACCCCACATTAAACGTTCTCTACTTTTCCTTTTTTCCCCAATATGGTCCCGAATCGTTCTCAGCCACACTCAAGTCAGCTAATATTAAACCATACTCCACACAAACAATGTTTTTAAATTCCATCAGATGCCTCTGAGCAACAGCATAACAAACCTTGTGTGCTCCTAAGTGAGCGAACGTATACCTGTCAGACTGCAGCACACCTGTAGCAGCCCTTGTTGAGTGGAACTGATAAGAAAGAGCAGCTAATCGGATCTCAATAATGAAAGTGTGCTACCATGTCATTGTCAACAGGTCCACTCTGTGGTTAAGTGTAGAGCTACGTTCAGGTTCAGTGTAGAACAAAAAGACAGCTCTAATGATTATCGGAGTGATAACAGAAGATCCTTGGTAGAGACAAAGAGGAGCGAAGACCCAACATGTTTCTCTCTGAATCAAGCAGCAACATTCACTCTGCTGACATGCAGGCCAATTTACCCCACCTCACTATCCTTGTGCACATCTGCAGACCGCCATTGTTTCCACCAGACTGTCCATCATGGTCTGGTGTTCCTTTTTATGTGTGAACCGTCAATCTCTGGGCCAATATCAAAGGCGTAAGGAAATGAGAGCAGACTGGTACGAACATAAAGCAGCAAAGCTTAGCAGGGTGCATCCACTATGCCACTATTTAGGCAGAGGCCAACAACATAACCTGTCAATGCTACAGTATGGCAGCCATTTCTCACACCTGCATTTCACCAGCCATTAGCCAGACTCTGTGTGTGTGTGTGTGTGTGTGTGTGTGTGTGTGTGTGTGTGTGTGTGTGTGTGTGTGTGTGTGTGTGTGTGTGTGTGTGTGTGTGTGTGTGTGTGTGTCAGACTATAGGAGAGCATTGAAAAAAGGTTCAAGTGTGAAAACCAAGGGCACCACAAATAAATGTTATAGTAAAAAATAAAATGGGTTTTACTCTAAACAGCCTTCCTTTATCTCAGGGCCCTCGTTCTGGTGAATGACTCAAGTTCTTATACACATGTTCCTGTTTGTTTCACAAGACCTTGCAGGAAGCATGTTATTCAAGGAGAACATGCTTTAATAATTGTACTAACATTGTATTAGGTTACAATGGCATATATACAGCTTTACTCAAATGATTTTTATCAGTATGGATCTAAAATATACATTTCTTTCCTGCACTATTCAAGATGCACTATTCCAACCGCACCACTGCACAAACCAAAAATAATCAAACATCTTGATAAATACAATTGTAATTTGTGGTTTGCATTGCATAATAATAATAATAATAATAATGGGTTCCATTTATAAAGCACTTCATATTCGAATTCAAATCCCGAAGTGCTACAGTGCTTAGTGCATACTAATGTATAGCCCATACAAACCTATTTTTAATGCTGTGACTCTCTGATTGTCCCCGTGCTTACAGACAAGACAGATGCTAGATTTCTCAGGCCAAGACATCTCACCAGAACCAAAGAAGCCATTTACAAAACTATTTTTTCTGAAATTCCATCAAATTTTCACATAACCTTTTCTGTCACCAACTGTCAGAAAATATATATTATTGGCTACCGACTGAAGGGTGATAATAATGATGCAGGGAGATTTTGGGCCACATTTTTATACAGGAACCTCTCAGAAATCCATAATCATCAACCAACATTTGACAACCATAAAGAGACACTTCAGAGAAATGCATACAGACAAGGAGACAGGAAATATTACAAACTGTGACTACAAATTGCATGAGTGCATACGTTGGCAAATTCAGTAAAAAGGAATTGCAGTTTAAAAGGCAGAGACAGATTTCCAAAACCAACTAATTAGAAAAAACTGCTATTATAGAAATTCCATATTATTTTTTACAACATTGTGTTTTGTTATAAATGCCACCAACATTGCATTTTGAGACACTGTGATAACACTGCATGATTGTTATTAATAATCACTTTCAAGACAACAAGTATTTTTGTTTCCTACATTTAACAGACAAATGTATTTACTTGCACAAAGTCTGAAGTGTGTAAATTGAATGGGTGGTTTTAGAAGGATTAAAGATCTAACCCTGGACCTATACGTTAGCCCACGGTTATATCAAAGAAACATTTTTCCATGGTGCCCTCTTATGTAGAACTGTGATGATAAAAAAAAAGTGGTTTGCTTTCTCATTTCACAAGATAACGATAGCTCAATGGGCTCTACGGCCATGAGGTGTGAAGTAGCAACATTTCCCATTAGGTTTGGAAAACTTTCTCCACCCCTCTTTTGCTACTTCAGCTCAAGTGCCGCAGCCCCCTGGCTTGGCATGCAACGGCAGTGTGGGTCACCCTGCAGCCTGTTCAGCTGCCAGAGCCCTTTGTGTACAAAGATGTTAATTGGTCCTAATCCGCCACTAGAAGCTGTTTTGGTAGCCTGACCTCGCACCCTGAAGGACACCTTGGTGTGAAATACTAAAGAGCCCATTCAAGTGCCAGAGAAAAGAGGCACAGAGCATTCCAACACAATTCAATTTCCAAGCTGAAAGAGGGGGGAACTCGAGGGGAGGCGGGTCAGAGCTGGGATGAAGATGGGGCACATCATCGTTCTGATAATAAATTAGCGCTACAAAGCAGTGGCTGCTGTGATGAGCAGCCTGACAATCACGTCTTAGCGTCTACTTCAAGGGATTCCCACAGCCCCACTGGACATGGGAATGCTAATTGCCTTAAACCAGCCTTCACGCACCTCACACAGACACACACACATCATGCAACAGAGGGACAATAAACCAACACGATAAAATGACTTCTTATCCTTGCATTCATTCGACAGTTGTCATGGTCACTTTTTCATCAACAGTTGACAGTTTAGCGTAGCATTACACTTTCAAAGCTGTACTTGCCCCAAAATGTTCCGGCAAAGTCTGCAGGTCAGGATCAGACTGCTCTCTACACTTCCAGTGGTTCAATAAAACAAACTATGAAGCACAAATGTCAGAACATTGTCTGGGGTAAGAAGCAAGGCCAGATAACATGATTTGAAGGAAAGGTTTCAACTTTCTTCCAAATTCACCATATGCATGTTAAGAGAGTTGTTGGTCTTTGTAGCCTCCCCTGTCAGACAGGCCAGGAGATACCCCTTCATAAAGCAAAATGTAACAGGTGGGGGACCAAATCTAAAGTAGGCTGTCAATTTTCCAAAAGTTCAGTCAGCTTGTATTAGAACTAAGATGTTATTGTTAGAATTGAATTAAAAGACAATACATGTAGCATAATGCCCACTTTGGTGGTCAGCATGAGTTTCCCGTTTCTCCTTCTATAGTCTATATACGGTTTCCTTTGTTATACAACAACAGCACCATATGTCGGGGGATTGTGTTTGGAATTTAATATCAAGTTCTGTTAACCAATCGCCAACCATTTCTTTAAACCCCATAAATGTACTCCACATAAAGAAGACTCCGTACCTCACTGCTCTGATTGTGAGGAAATGTTCAAATGTGGGAGCAGAGCAGGGCCTCTTGTCTGCATGGACTTCTTGCAGGCGGGCAGTATAGTAGAGGAACAAAGCCGTCTATACAGGAAGGCAGCTGGTTAACACTACAGCTTCATTACAAAGGTGGCGGAGTGCTGAGGGTACAATAGTTGGATGCACATGCTTTGATAAAGACACAGTTTACAGCCATTTGCAGTAGTGGAGGCATATGTCCACGTACTGTGCTCAATAAACAGATATTATATTTCTTTGTTTGCACAACCATTATGTTTTAAAACATAACAATCTTTATAATCAAACATTTTTTGATTTAGTATTAATACTTTAAACTACTGTAATCACTGGTACTAGCTTCACATTGTAACCTGGAGCAGAAGCTG